AAAAATTAAAACCCAATCTCTATCTACGCCAAAAGCAACTCAAAGTGGGTTAAACATTTCTATGTAAGTTCTGAAACTATAAAACTACTACAAGAAAACATTGGGCAAACACTTTAGAACATTGGTCTGAGCAAAGATTTCTTGAATAAGACCTTAAAAGCACAGCCAACAAGAGCAACAATTGACAAATGGAATTACATGAAGCTAAAAAAGCTTCTGGACAGCAAAGAAAACAATCAATGAAGTGAAGAGACAACTTACAGAATGAAAGAAAATATTTGCAAACTACCCATCTATCAAGGGATTGATCAAAATATACAAGGAACGCAACTCAATTGTAAAAACACGGTCTTATTTTAAAATGGGCAAAATGTCTGATATTTCACAAAAATAGACATTCAAATGGCCAACAGGTATATGAAAAAATGCTCAGCATCAGGGAAATGCAAGTTAAAAGTGCAGTGGATCATAATCTCACTCTAGTCAAAATGGCTATTTTCAAAAAGACAGAAAACAATAGATGCTAGTGAACAGGCAGAGAAATAAGAACACTCGTACACTTTTTGGGGGAATGTAAATTAGTGCCACCACTATAGAAAACAGTATGGAACTTCTTCAGCAAGCTAGAGCTAGATCTAGTATATGATCCAGCAATCCAACTGCTGCGTTAAAAAAAGAAAAAATCCATATATCAAAGCAATATCTGCACTCCCACATTTACTCCTGCAGTGTTCACAATAACCAACATACAGAATCATTCTAAGTGTCCACCAAATGATGAATAGATAAAGAAGACGTGACAAATATACATAATGGAATAGTATTCAGCCTTTAAAAAAAGAATGATATCTCCTGTAGCAACATGGAAGGAACTGAAGGACATTTTGTTAAGTGAAATAAGCCAGGCACAGAAAGACAAATCAGAGCTAAAGAAATTGATCTCATGGAGGTAAAAAATAGAAAGTAGTTACCAGAGGCTGGCAAGAGAAGTGTTTGTTGGAGAGAGGGATTAAGAAAGGTTGATTAATGGTTACAAACATGTGGTTAAATAAAAAATAAGTTCTAGTGCTTGATAGCATAGTAAGGTCACTACAGCTAACAATACTAATTTATTATATATTTTAAAATAGCACAAAGAGAAGATTTGAAATATTTCCAACAAAAAATGAATATTTGAGATGATGGATATCCCAGTTAGCCAAATATTATTATTATGCATGAACGCTTGCACCAAAATATCACATGTACCCCATAAATACAAATAGCTATGATCTATCCATGAAAATTAAAAAAAAAAATCTACAACATAACCAAGTGGGATTTACTTCAAATATCCAATCTTTATTCAAATTTAAATAGTGATTAATCTACCACATCAACAAGAAAAATTATATGATCATGTCAATAAGTGTAAAAAAGGCATTTGACAAAACCCAACACCCCATTCATGGTAAAATCTCTCAGCAAGCTAGATTGAGAAATTTCTCAGCTTAATAAAGAACATCTACCAAAAAACTGAGAGCAAAAATCACATTTAATCTTGATAAACTGAAAACTTTCCTGCTAGATCAAGGACAAGAGTAGGATTTCTCATAACTCCTTCTCATTTTATTGGAATCATAACAAATGCAAGAATACAAACACAAACAAAAGGAAAAAAGAGAAAATGCATGCAGATTGAAAGGGAATAAATAACACTGTCTTTTTTTTTTAGATCTCACATGATTTTCTAAGTAAAGATTCTGAGATTATTTATTTAAAATGAGGAACTAGTAAGCAATTATAGCAGAGATACAGTATACAAGGTTAATATACAAAAATCTCTTTTCTACATAATAATGAAGTGACATTAGAAATTTTAAAAATACTATTTATATCACTACCCCTCAAATGAATTACTAAGGTATACATCTAACAAAATATGTGCAACATCTATATGAGAAAGAATGATGAGACAAATAAATTCAGATGAATAAAATCATAGAAGAACTAAATAAATGAAATATTTTATCTCTGTGACTAAGAAGACTCAATATTGTCACGATGTCATTCTTCCTAACTTGATCTACAGATTTAATGTAATCTCAATTAAAATCCCAGTATGTTATTTTATGGATGTTGACGAATGAACTCCATAGTTTATATAAAGGGCCATGAGACCCGAAACAGTCAACTCAATATTTAAAAAGAACAAAGTGGGAGGACTGAAACAACTTACTAGATTTAATATAGTCTTACCATAAAGCTAAAGTACTCAAGACAATGTGGTTTGCTGAAGGAACAGACAAATAGATCAATGGAACAGAATAGAGAGCTCAGAAATAGACTCAATAAGTAAGTCATATGATCTTTGAGAAAGAAGCCAAAGCAATACAATGGAGCAAAAGAATATTCAGCAAACAGTACTGGAACAACTGGACTTGTTCATTTGGAAAAAAAGAAAAAAATAGAAAGAGAGGAGGGAAGGAGAGAGAGAGAAAAAGAAGAGAAAAGAAAGATGAGAAAGGGAGAAAGTGGAGGAGGAGAGAAAGAAGAGAGAGGAAAGAAAGAGGAGGAGGAAGAGAAAGAGGAAAGGAGGTAAATTTATAAACAGACTTCACATTCTTAACAAAAATTAACTCAAAATGGACCGCATACCTAAATGTAAAATGAAAAACTATAATTGACCTATCAGATAATATAAAGAAAACATAGATGAACTCAGGTATGTTAATGACTTTTTAGATACAACACCAAAGGCAAGATTCATGAAATAAATAATTGATAAGCTATCCTTCATTAAAATCCAAAACTCTGCTCTATGAAAGACCATGTCAATACAGTAAGAATATAAGCCACAGACTGGTAGAAAATATTTGTAAAATACACCTCTAATAATAGACTGTTATCAAAAAACAAGCAAACAACTCTTAAAAGTAAACAATAGAACCACAAAAAGCCTGATTTAAAATAGGCTAAAGACCTGAACACCATGCCAAGGAAAATATACAGATGGCAAATAAACATGTGAAAAGATGCTGCACGTTATATGTTATCAGGAAAATGCAAATTAAGATGAGTTACCACTACACTCCCACTCTCCTTCACTGCTCAGATGGCCAAACTCTGGAACATTTACACCACCAAATGCTGGTGAGAATGTGTAGCAACAGGAGCTCTCATTCATCACTGGTGGGAATACAAAATGGCACTCCCACTTTAGAAGATAGTTTGGTGACTTCTTACAAAACTAAACATACTTTTACATTAAGATCCAGCAATCACATTCATTTGTACTTACCCAAAGAAGTTGAAAACTTGTATCCATACTAAACCTGAACATGGATGTTTGTAGCACCTTTGCTTATAATAGACTAAACTTGTCAATCACCAAGACATTCTTCGGTAGGTGAATGGATAAATAAACGGACATCCACACAATGAAATGGTATTCAGTGCTAAAAGCAATGACCTATCAGGCCATGAAAAGACATGAAAGGAACTTAAAGGAATTATTACTGGGTGAAATAAGCTAATCTAAAAAGACTGCATACAGTATGATACAAATGACATAACATTCTAGAAAAGGCAAAACTATGGAGATGGTAAAAAGTAGTTGCCAGCAGTTGAAGTTTGGCGAAAGGATGAGTAGGTTGAGCACAGAAGATTTAGAGGGCAGTGACTTTGTTTGATACTATGATGATGGATACATTTCATGACACATTTGTGTCAACCCATAGAAGATAAAACATGAAGAGTGAATCCTAAGTCAACGATGAACTTTAAGATGCCGTGTCTATGTGGGGACAGGGAGTGTATGGGAAATCTTTCTACCTTTCTCTTAATATTGTGAACTTGAAACTGTTTTTAAAGAATAGCATTAAATATTAGCAATCAATATTTATGTCCAGAATCCCTTGGAATCTCTGCATTTATATTAAGCGCTTCATAATTTGGCAATAAATTTCTGATGGTCATGGTTTTTCTATCAAATATCTTGAAAGAGAAAAAAATAGTGCTTCTCTATTAATGCAGGCTACCTCCACAAGATAGCATTGTATTTGTTTCTAGATTTTCTTTTCTTTCTTTTTTTTTTGAGATGGAGTTTCACTGTGTTGCCCAGGCTGGGGTGCAATGGTGCGATCTCAGCTCACTGCAACCTCCGCCTCCCAGATTCAGGGGACTCTCCTGCCTCAGCCTCCTGAGTAGCTGGAATTTATAGGCGTGGTCACCGCACCTGGCTAATTTTTGTATTTTTAGTAGAGACGGGGTTTCACCGTCTTGGCCAGGCTGATCTCGAGTTCCTAACCTTGTGATCCACCCACCTCAGCCTCCCAAAGTGCTGGGATTACAGGCGTGAGCCACCACGCCGAGCCTGCTTCTAGATTTTCTAGTCACTCAAATGTAGATGGTTTCTACTGTGTATTTAAAGTGATGGACACCTCTTTATATATACTATCCAAGTAGGATTAACGTTGCAATAAGAGAGAGGGACATCTTTACTTGCCAGAAAACGTGATACTACTTCTGGATAAAGAAATGTCCAGATTCTTACAGACAAATTAGCTGGATGATACCAACATAAATTATCAGGAAGCAATATAAAAACCAACCAATGTGGAAGACAGAGTGGCTCTTCCTCAAGAATCTAGAACCAGAAATAACATTTGATCCAGCAATCCCATTACCGGCTATATATCCAAAGGAATATAAATAATTCTACTGTAAAGACACATGCACACATATATTTATTGCAGCACTGTTCACAATAGCAAAGATTTGAAACTAACCCAAATGCCCATCAGTGTTAGACTGGATAAAGAAAATGTGGCACATATATACTATGGAAGACTTCAGCCATAAAAAAGGATGAGTTCATGTCCTTTGCAGGGACATGGATGAAGTGCGAAACCATCATTCTCAGCAGACTAACACAGAAACAGAAAACGACTGCATGTTCTCACTCATAAGTGGGAGTTGAACAATGAGAACACATAGGCACAGGGAGAATATCACACACCGGGGCTGGTTGGGGGTGGGGGCTAGGGGAGAGATAACATTAGGAGAAATACCTAATGTAGATGACGGGTTGATGGGTGCAGCAAGCCATCATGGCATGTGTATACGTATGTAACAAACCTGCACGTTCTGTACATGTATCTCATAACTTAAAGTATATTTAAAAAGTTAATTTGTAATCACTAGTGCACACTGTAAATCTTCCTATAGAAACTCTATTTCTATGCAAGATTTATTATAAATTTCTAGGACTCTCGTAACATTGAATCTTAAGAAATAGACTTATATCTTATCCAGACTTGTTATCCCCAAGTGTTCACTCCTAGGGGTTCTAGAGGCAAGTCTCATTTCTAACCACCCTATGAAAGCAAAGCAGTCCAACAAACCTATGCAGTCCTCCAAGGTCACATTGTCTTAAAACTGTACATATCCTAACAAGAAGTCTACTGGCTCCTGTTCAAAATCTTGGCCTCACTGTATCCTCAAATGCAGCACTTAATGTTTCAAACACAGAAAGTTTTTTGAGTTTCTACTCAGTCCCTGGAACTGTAGTAGGTCTGTAGTTGAAATACGTGTGCATGTATGAGAAAGAGTGTCTATGTACATATATGTCTCCTTCATAGATATTTGTGGGGATTAATGTTAAGAGAAATCATGTTACTCTCTTTTTGACTCATGTCCCTGTCTCTTATCTAAGCTCTGAGGATACTTCTGATTCAAAACTAGATCTCAGTTGCATTGATACTGATGCTCATAAGTAAGCCTGTTTCCATTTGTTCTCATTGAAAATTGCAACAGAAGACTTCTATTTTCTCCAAACAGCCTATAATTTTTAATTCAGTTTTTTCAAGAAATATTGAATGTACTATAAACTAAACAGGAAATCTAGTGATTTTCATATATGCTATCTCAGTTATTCTAATGTTTTGCTCCACATTTAACCATCTCATAGATCAAGATGGATTACTTAATTCTTATCTCTTCTTTTGCCTAAAATAAGCACAAATAGGTTTGTGTTCTAACATATGTATGTATGTATGTACTCAATCACTTGGAAGAAAACAAAGAATGATGTAATAGACAAGTTGGAGAGATAAAAGTTCTTAGAAATCCTACATTCACAATTCTGCCTAGATGCCCTTGAAATTTCATAATTATCTAATTTTTATCATTTGGTTCAGAATATGCTGTTTTAAAATCCTCTTATGAGAAGTTTAAACCTGCACTCAGGATAAAATATGCTAGTTAACATCCTTTCTGTAGGCAATAAACTGTGGGTGGTAATTTGCATTTCTGAAAACCTAAGACACTTAACACTGAATTTATAGAACTCCTACCCTCATAGAATTCTACCTTCATAATTACCCTCTTCATTCTTTAAATTTGGAGCAATTCTGTTTCAGTAAATTTCTCACCTTAACATTTTGGGTTTTCTGCAGGTTTCATCTTTTTTTCTTTTTTAATTTTTTTATTTTGCTGACACTTAAAAGAATAAAAAGTATCACTGAACCCAGGCATTAGGCAAGGCATGTAGCTGACAATGTAGACAACTCATTTTATTGTAGGAAGGAAATACTTTTCTAAATTTTTTAATCATATGCAATTTTTTTTGTATGTGTATGCAGCCCTCCTAACATAGAGGAGAATGTGGCCAAGTCAGGAAATCCTAATACAATCTCTAGGTAAAGAGATAGCCAGATTCTTATCCCTTGCATCAGTTGTGCAAAGCCATTAAGAATTTCCAAGGGACGTTCTTAATAAGCTGTATTTCTCTCTTTCTCAGGGCAGGGTAGAGAAGGAAGAGTTGATTAAACAATGTTGAATGGCTCAATTGTGCTAGATATTGTACTAGGCATTTTACATATATTGAAGTTATCTAAAAACCCAGATAAGCTATATATTTTGATTATTTCAATTTTATAAATATGGCAACTGAGGCTTAAAGAGTTATCTGCTACCTAAATCAGTTCAAAGATTGCCCTTTGCTCTAAAATCAAATTATACTATTTTTTATGAGTATAGAAAATTTGTCTTCAATTTTTAGATTAGGCATTACTCCTCCCTTGTGAGCTAATGAGATCTTTTTCTCTGTATCTCCTAATCTTCATGTCCTTAAGGTATCTTGCAATATAAGCTCTGCATTTTGAGGAAATTGTATATCACCTAAATACCAGACATTAGTGTGCATTCAGTCTTCCCAGCTTTCCTTTTTCACATCAATGGGTGAATATATATCAAATATTCTTATTTTGTTGTCACCCCGTCACTGTTATTATTTATCTCTATTAACATTGGATATACTTTTAACATTGTTGGCACATATAGGAGAATACCCAGTGAACTAGACGAATAATAGCTTACATAGACCAAACACCTTCTCTGTTACAGACTATACAAAGCACTTCAATGAATATCTAATTTAATTTCACAATAATCATGAAGTATATAACATTATCTTTACAGATGAGAAGACCAGGAACTAGAGAGGTTAAATAACTTTCTCAATGTCAGTACTAATGAATTGCAGAGACAAGACTCCAACCCACATCATGTATTTGGGAAGCCCATGCTCTTCTATGATTATGATTGTAAACAGTAAACCCACTAGAAAGCAGGGGTTGTATTTTTTCCTTAGTTCCTTGTGCACAGTAAATTCTGATTAAACTCTTTTTTTGAATGAATAAAGAAATCACAACTGACTTTGGCATGAATGCTTGCTTGCCATTAGACACACGTATTAGAACTTCTGCACCTTAATGTATTTCATTTGAAAGGTAGTAGACTGTTCTGGGTAACTTCAAAAGTTATCTTCAGTTAAGCTTGATTGTGTTCCCTAAAAGGCATGCATTTCTTTATAACACTGAAGTAAGTTTTTGCCTTAATTAAGAATTCTACTTTCGGCCAGGCACAGTGGCTCATGCCTGTAATCCCAGCACTTTGGAAGGCCGAGGCGGGTGGATCATGAGGTCAAAAGATTGACACCATCCTGGCCAACATGGTGAAAACCTGTCTCTACTAAAAATATACAAATTAGCCTGGTGTGATGGCAGCTGTCTGTTATCCCAGCTAGTGGGGAGGCTGAGGCAGGGGAATTGCTTGAAACTGGAAAGTGGAGGTTGTCGTAAACCGAGATTGTGCCACTGCACTGCAGCCTAGGCAACAGAGCAAGACTCCATCTCAAAAAAAAAAAAAAAAAAAAAAAAAAAAAAAAAAAAAAAAAAAAAAAACAACCACCTACTTTCAGTGGGAGCCTTTCAATACATTTTCTTTTATTTTATGGACCTCTTACTCCTTCTCACAATCATTAAGATGGAATTGAAAGGGACTTCATTAGTGTCATACTGTTTCTTTTCTGTGAACCTCCTCCAATTTATCCCAGGATATGTACTGGCAGCCTTATTTTTGACAGTCTCAAAAGATAGTCCTCTAAAAGCTGCAGAACAGCTTATTATGCTTTGGGTGATTGACATGCCCACAGTCTCTTCTGAGAAAAGTTGACCATCTGTGCTCCTCAACTTGGCTTAGCTTATTTGGTCAATGGTGGGTGTCTGCCCCAAGGGCTACTGGTTATTAGGCTGCCTAATTGGTGACTGGCTATTCTTGAGCAGGATGGCATCATTCACCAAATCAATGAGATTATATTCTTGCAAAAACTTTATTTTTAAAGTTATGCACAGGAAGGTTCAAAATTGTCAAGGACTGAAGCAATAATAAGCAGGAGTAGAAAATAGTGAAATGTCTATAATGTCACAGGGGAGAACAGGGTTCCACGGAAGCTTGCTTCTGTGATGGCAGCTGCTAGGGTCTGTGTTGGCTATTACAGTTACTTCCTAATGATAAACTTTGCCTGGATTTTGTGGGAACTTTTCTCGTGGGAATCCTATCTGTTCAGCAATCCCAATTTTTCTTCGGTCCCCTTGAATCTTTACCATAAATTTTTCTCTCTGAGATACATTTAATACGCTTTACTTTTTTATAACTAGAGAAAGCATGAGTACCATGCGTAGCCTGTTTCACTGTTGAAGGACACTCATGCTTAAGTAGTCAGCTCTTTAATCCATTCTAACCACCATCAAGCTTACTACATATATTTTTGCACTTCATATAGAGCAAAAAGTGTTTCTTGGATGCTTCTGACAACAATAATTGGCATACATTAATTAAGTTAATAATACCTTTTGGCTCAAAGCTCAATCAAAAGATGTTCTTTTAGTATTTTATAACTCATTTCCAAGGCTTTTAGATAGTATATTATTTCTCTAAACCACCTTTAATTTCTCTTTATTAACCTTGGCTTGATTATTTTCCTTCTAGATCCTAAAACACAGGAGAAAAGTTTAAAATATCTATTTTAACTGGTAAAAGCAAAGACAGAATTATTTGTAGACATCAACTTTGCAAGCTATAATCAGTCTGGAACTCATTATATTTTATGTAGTCGGGAAGCCATTGGGTAACAGATCAAAAGGTATGTGCTCCTCCTCTAACTGAAGCTCAATATTATGAATCCACCATCCAAATAAAAGTACACTGGAAACAAAGAATTTCTGTTAATAAGAAAAATGTAAATATAATATCTTCTGCTACCAACAATGAAAGTTAACCATATAACCTGTGTATTTTCCAAACAAGTCAGGTCTCCTTCTGGTATAGATTACCAATTTCAGTTCACTGGGTGGATGGAGTAGTACTTTTATTATTTTTAGATACAACTGCATGTTTTTGTCATATATTTTGATAAAATACATGCATGTAGTTGTATATGTGTGAGGGAAAATGTATGTGTGAGTTTGAGAGTTGTGTGTATAGGTGTAATTGTGTGTATTTGTATGTGTCAGAGGAAGAAGTTTCCAGTCATGAAAATTTGTTTTTCATTTATTAGAAGCCCTGTAATTATGTGGAAATACTTCTGCTGACAAATAGGCTCTTGACACTCAAAGTGTGTTTCTTGGAACAGCAACACTGGCTTTAAATGGAACTTGATAGAAATGCAGTGTTTTGGGGTCTGACCCAACTGTATTGAATGAAAAGCTACATTTTAACAGAATCCCCAGGTGATTTTTGCACAC